GCGGTTTACTAAAACAGGGAACACAGTAAGTAAGCAGGTTTTGGGGGAGGATGTGAGCTCAGTTTTGGAAAGAGAACTAAACGGATGGGTCAATAAGTAATAGAGATTACAAGCCAAAGAGAGAATTTTAAGCCGGGAATGAACATTTTGAAGGCATTAGTTGTATACCAGGTATTACTAGGGAGAAATTCTAGAGAGGTCACCCATTTCTTTTTAGAGAACCACAAAGACGAAATGTTTTATAGGTTCCAAAAATGTGGAATTTTAGCCAATTAAATACAGAATATATTCATGAAATTATAAATATTGCAATGGCCTTTTCACAAATATTTTTTAAAATATAGTAAATTCATTATTAGAAGATCTGTTTTATTTTTTATATTGTTGATATCTGTCATCTTTTGAATTGTTCATACTGCTTTATGTTATAGAATATTAAGGCGAGGCAAGAACTTTAGTACTGAGAACCAAAGACAGGAATTCTGAAGGATAAAGGCGACAGTTTCCTTGTACTGAAAAGAATGAGCATGCTATCCTTGTAATGACTTTGCTTGCTTGCAGTAATGAGTGAATGACTTTGAATTATACGAAGGTTAATTAACTGGTCATTCGTGATGAGAGTATAACTCTGTTGTGGGTCATTTGTGAGAGACAGTAAGTGCAGGGCAGATTTAACTTGCCATTCCTGTTTTAGGCCATCCTTTGTTTTGAACACAACTGTAAATTCACTTTCTGTTAAATTTTGACTGCTGCCATATGTATGAATTAGCAAAGTCTAAACAGCTGGATGAATGTACAGATTAGATGTGTTAGATTTATTCAAAGTCACAAGTGTCTGTGGCGATAGGAGTTTGAAATGTCTCTAATGGAAAAATGGCTCTTCGAGCAGCCAAAGCAACACTAATTGAGGAAAAAGAAGTTTCACCAAAAGTCAACCACTCAGTGAGAAGAGAGAGGCCAAAATCATTTGAAATGCCCTGAAAGGCTTTTGCAAAGGATAAGTCTAATAGGCTAGAAATTAAAGAGGACATGTTATTTGCTTAAGTAGCAGATTCTTCACATGATTCCGCCCAAAGCCACCACATTTAAGTGTGCAGGCCATAGAATGCACAACTGTTTAGTGACTGGTGCCTCCTGGATGTGAGGCCGGCCAGAGTCTTCACCTATTCCTTTACGGTTCTACTTCCAGCACGCAGTTATTTTTTGCTTTAGCCAAACATTTCACCTTAATGAGTAAGATACAAAAGAAGTACATTCCATTTCTATAAAGCACTAGCATAAGTTGTGTTTTTATAAATACAGAATACACAGTTTAGTGAATTGCAAATTTATGGTTCAGTGCATAAATCCCTAATGTACAATTTTGAAAAATCTCAACTATATTAAGGATGTTGCTTTATGTATGTAACAAAGTATATGCTGTCTTGTAATACTTTATATATTTAGAGTTTTTAATTATTCTACTCAGCCAATTACATAGCTGAAATTATTCTAAAATTGTTGAAAATGTCAATTCAGGTTAAGGTGACAAAATGACATTTGACTGGAATCTATTATACCTGACATTATGGTTCTTTTGATTTATTTTTAGTGCTGAACACAGGTATCATTTATTTTAATATTCCCCTTCTCTGGCAATGTAATAAAAGCCTAGTAAGCCAAGACTTATAAATAAAGCATGTGCTCATTTCATTAATATTTTCATGATTAGCTGTTTGGGGATTTATGGATATGTTGTAGGGAACTAAGATTGAACTAGAGTATAGATTCCCTCCAGATAGAGCCAGATGCCATGGACTTTTGTAAATATAAATATGATGTGTTGATTGTCAGATTTTTTATTATAACTATAAATACTCAAGTTCCCTTGTTTTATTAGTCCATGGATAACAAAATAAAATGAAATATAAGATTGCTTATTTAAAGGTAGCCCTCATAATTGTTGTATGGTGAAGAAGATATTTTTCTATGCTGTAAATGTCTTTGTGTGTATGTGTGTGAGTAAAATGAAAGAGAAGAAAGCAACTCCCATTTGTTACCCTAATTTTTTATATTTTTTTGTATTCTCAAGTGCATGTACATGCACGCACACGTGCACACACACACACACACCCTTACAGCATTTGCCTAAGTCAAAACTGTTATTTTCTATTTTCAAGATTTTATTTAATCTGGCTCAGGTTTATGTTGTGAGAGTCTGCTTATGGTTAAGGAAGTCAAAGCATATATAGTTTCAACAGTGGATATACTACATGCCCTATGTCTCTGATGAGTTGTGATTTCTCATTTTGACAGTTAAGCACGTTTTAATGCATAGAAATGTTTTCCTCATACGTTATTCAAATCATGTAAAGATATGATTCAATAAATGTCATGTAAAAATAAGTATTTGAATATAGACTCTAATTTATTTTAAAACAGTATTCAATATAACATAAAGATTCTGTTCCTTCAATTTTTATGTATTTGTGTCTACTCCATCTTTTGTCAGCTGTGCATTTATCAATGGCAGTCTTAAAACCTACTTTTCTGTTAAATGGAATGGCAATTCTCAGAGATAATACTTCAAATATTTAATGACTAGAAAGACATGGAGCAATCAGAAGGAGTGGTGCTAATTACGTCACAGTGGGCAAAGCACCTGAATGTCAGTCCCTGTAACATCGACCTCGCATGTGAAGTGAGATAAATGTGAGAACTAAAATAAACTAAATAAGACAATATATTGAAAGAACCAGGACACAGTGTTTAACAGAAGTTAGTCAAGTCAACAAATATTAGCTGGGTGCTTTATTCCCTTATTTTGCTAACCTCTTCAACATTAATTAAACAATGTAAATTAGAGAGCAAGGCATTTAAAAATATTTAGGATTGAATCAAGGGCTGATAAAATGGATGAAATAATTTTCAGATCTTGTTTAAACCTGGCTAACGGCAAGGTAAATTACTGTAAATAAAAAGTTTCTATGTCCTATGATGAAATTTATAATGTAAATTCCATGATAAATGAGGATGTAGGAATCAATAAATTTTCTGCTTAATCGTGACCTCTCCTTGTGCTTATTTGCAATTCCCCAATTGCTAAAATAAAGGTTGATAAGTTAATGCCTGTGCATAATTTCCCTGGAAAATCTTAGTGGAGGACACAGTGCCTAGGACTGCATTTTCAGTTTTAAGTATATTCTTAAACACTAGTGGTTAAATTTCAAAAGCATTGTTAAAAAATTCAGTGAAAATAACAGTTTATCTCAAAAGTAACTACAAGTCTTTCTTGACTTACTGTGGGATTTTGTCCTGATAAACATATAAGTTGAAAATATAAGTCAAAAAATGCACTTAATACACCTAGCCTACTGAACATCACAGCTTAGTCTAGCCTACATTAGCCTACATTAGCCTACAGTTGGTCAAAATCATCTAACACAAAACCAATTTATAATAAAGTGTTGAATATATCATGTAATTTATTGAATACTGTACTGACAGTGAAAAACAGAATGGTTGTTAAGTGTACCCTTGTTTACCCTTGTGATTGTGTGGCTGGGATCTGGGACTCACTGCTGTTGTCCGGTACTATGAGAGAGTATCATACTGCACATAATAAACCCAGGAAAAAAATCACATTCAAAGTATGGTTTCTATTGAATGCATACGGCTTTCAAACGGTCATAAAGTTGAAAAATCTTATGTGGAACCATTGTAAGTCAGGGACTGCCTGTACTTAGGAGAGCTTACCATGGCAAAGTCAAATTAGATATTAATCACAAAACAATTTGTTTGGCTTTTGAAAGCGTTATTGCCCAGAATGCCATGACAACTTCTATTTTAAGACTTCTATTACCAGCTGTGAATATCCATCCTAACAGCAGTTTACAATCTTTAATAGCTGCTTATATCATTAGTTTCTCAAGTTGCAGAATTTTCTTCTTTTTTGTAATACATTTATCATTGGTTTACATAAAGTGAGTACTAAAGGAGATTTTATTAAATTTTCTGGTTAAATCAACAAAATGCTTAAGAATAACACTTTGAGCCTAGACCTTTTTTTTTAATATTATAACTACCTGCTCTAAGAGACTGGTGTTCATAGAGATAGCGTACTTGTATGTAGTAAAGTAAAAGATGCGAAGTACCTCTTAAGCATTTTCATGTCTAGCATTGTTTGAAGAATGTTATTTTATACGTATAAATGATGAGAAAAGGGGCATGGGAGAGATGTTCATCACATTCATTTATTTTGCCTCTTAGTTTCAGATTTCAATTCCCTGTGCTGTGAGATGTGGCTATATGACGAGTTCCTGACAATGAAATGTGGATGGAAATGCTGCTGACCTCTTCTAAGGCTTGGCCCATAAAAGCCTTCTGTTTGCTCTTTATAATCTCTTTCACCCAATCTGCAGTGTATTTCACTAGTTAGCCACATTTTCAAGATGGTGGGGCCACTGATAGCCTGGACTCCTGAGTGATGATAGAGCAGAATCTTTCAGAACCAAAACAAAAATATCCATTCCTATTCCACAAGGTCATTGAAGCAACTTACATTCCCAGTAGTAATGCATGGGAATTCTCTTTCTTGAGTCTCAACTGAAAGCATGATGTCTTAATCAGAATCTCTTCTTTTGGAAGCCCTGACCTTAATTTTTGTCTCCCCAGGAATACGAGATTGCTGGAAGCTCTACCTAGGTTTTCAGCCTGTTAACTTTCACTCTGCTACTCTCAGTTTCTCATCCCATGAAATTTTGGAATGAACAAATCTCGAATGACAATGCACCTCGGAATACTGGAATTCCCATTATTCCACATCTCTGGCCTGGGGGCCTACAGCAAAGGAGATCATGCCATGGGTTGTTTCAGGTGTGATAGCCTCATGGACATGTCCAGAGACCTGAGAAGTTGACCTGGACTTCCCAGGGAAACCACTGCAACCCCCACATTCTGCTATCCATCTGTAGCAGATTGGTTGTGGTGGAGGAGTAGCTTGGAGTCAGAATCCTCCTTCTTCAAGATGTATGCCTGGCCAGTTTTCAGGGAAATTATAGGACTCCTAGTGAAATTTGAATTTTGGGTAAACAATGAAAAATTTTAGTATAAGTGTATCTCCTGCAATATTTGGATATAATTATACTAAAAAATATGTTATTGTTCATTTGAATTTCAAAATTAATTGGCTGTTCTATATTTTTGTTTGCTAAATTTGGCAACCCTACCCCTGGTTTTTATTTCATGTAGTTTCTTCTCTCAGTCTGCACCTTTAGCTGATTTAGAACTGGTGCAGAACAGAGAATTATTTACCAGTGTCACAATTCAGGAGTCCTTGTAGAAGTCTGTGGAACTTATCAAATCCATTTAGGTCTTTGATTGTAGTCCCTGGCACCGTTCAAGATAGAACATGGAGTTCAAAGGAGAGTCTTGAGTCTTCCTCTGGTTTCATGAGTGTGTCGCAAGGATTGGGTCTATTTCCCCTCAGATTAAGAGATGAGATGTCAGTTTCAAAACAGTCTGCATCAGCGGCTCCATGCAGTTTGCTGCCCCTGGTCCGGACAACCCATAATAGCACCAGCTGAGGGGAGAGAAGGAAAAAATGCATTAGTGTTATTTCCTCTATCAAGCTATTTTACCCATGTGAGGCTGACAGGAAGGGGGTCCATACCTCAGTCTTAAATGGTTTTCAAATAAAAATCACCAGAGAAAATGAACTTCTCTACTGAGGATTTAGTTTTATGGGACAAATATGCAGATCAGACATTCTGAAATTGCCTGAGCCCCAAAATGGGAGTAAAACACAGCCAGGTTATGTTGAAAAGGTGAAAATATAAGGGAATTGGGATGTACAGAGTTCACATCTTCTGAATGGAGGCACAGCCTGTGTTAGGAAAAAATGAAAGCCCCTACTTTTGCCTTTGTGTCAAATCTACACCAAAGGTTGAATGTTTCCATCAAAAAGAGGTAGAGGTTTTGATAGGTACAAACTGTTCATTTAATAACTCAAATGTGTCTTGTTACAAAAGCAAGCAGGATGTGTGTGACCCAGCAGATTATCCTGAATTGAATAAGCTGTTATGCCATCGGACTGGCAGTAATAGAGACCAGGTTGCTGTTTGAAAGTACAGGTTTTATTATTATTTTGGTATGGAAAGGCCAACAGATTAAGAGACAACTGCCATTGAAAAGTTAGTTATACTCACACCATGCTATGGAGGACCATATGGGGAAGCATTGTTGTTACAGTTGATTAGGAGGCAGAGAGGAGAGGGGAAATGTTGGGTATGGGCCTTTATCATGGTTTCCTAGGAAAGGAATGGGTGAGGTAGGGCAGAAAGGCTAAGCAGACTTAGTATTGGTGAGTTTAAATAAATTCAGCAGGCTCAGGGGTATAGGGTTCTTGGTCCTGGGGTGTTTAGGGTTGGAAGATGTTGGCCTAGAGTGTAAAACAGTTGGAAATGTGGGCTATGGATTGGTTAGTTTGCATATGAGAGGACTGTTTTCTAAGAATTAGCTAACTCTGAGAGGGAAGTCCCTCCTGGATTAGTAAGGCCCCAGGTGTCATAGCATCGTAATACAGAAAATTTACAAACATGGTTAATACAGTTGTCCAGGCACTAGTGGAATGGTACAAAGTAACTGGTTTTAAAATTCCATTTTCTCTATCCCAATAGTGAAGTTTAGCTAGCAGCAACTTCCTTTTTTATAGAATACCTAGAGCTGAGAAGATAGTTCCGAGTTTTCACAATGAGGCTGGAAAACTGGTTAGAACCCCAAAACTCTTAGAGGAAAATATCAAATGAGATGCCTTACAGAGCAAAGGCACCGTTGCGGCTGGGTCTCACATAGAATATGAGTACAACTGGCAGGTGGATTTTAATTGTCTCATGACTAAAGGTTCTGAAAAGGGTGGCTGTACAGTGGTGGATGATTTTTCAGGGGCAGAATTAGAGTGTCTATCTGAGCTTCTATAGATGCATAGAAATCATACCAATTTTGGTATATGAACAACCTTTAACTTTCACTTACCAAGAAAGCCACTTCATTGCCCATGTTAGACAGAATTGAGCCTTTTCAATGACTTTGACTTTTCACCCATGATTCTGTCTCTTAGGAAAGATAATTGAGACATGGAATGTAATTCTGAAGGAGCAATAAAACAAAGACAACTTCAATCAACACCATTAGGCACTTTTCCTATTAAAAATTTTAAAGATTAATAGAATTTAAGAAAGAAAAAGAGGAGGAATCCCATATTAACTTTTCCTTCATGGAAGTCAGCAGAATATCAAGTAGACATGTGTCTGTATATAGAACAAATATCACTTCTCTTTTCATTATGGCACTACCACTAATCCATAAATTAGAAATCCACAAATCAGGATTATAATGCTTAATCTGAGGAATGGTAGACCATGGGAAAATGGCAAAAACTTACTTAAGGTAAAAAACACCAAACTTCTAGGGTGGTTGGGTAATTATACCAAATGGTAGCAATGGGGTAAGATACAATAACTGACTTTCACTGTAGAGGGGAGGATAGGAAAATGATATTGTGACATGTGGCCATTAAATAATTTCAGGGTAGTAGTCTTCTTGCATGGTCCCTTTCTCCAGTCTCTGGGTAAAGGTAAAGGCCTGGAAAGCCCCAGAGATACTAGCCCTAGGAAATGAGGGTTTTTTTTTTTTTTTTTAAAGATTTTATTTATTTATTTGATAGAGACAGCGAGAGAGGGGACACAAGCAGGGGCAGTGGGAGAGGGAGAAGCAGGCTTCCCGCGGAGCAGGGAGCCCGATGCGGGGCTCGATCCCAGGACCCTGGGATCATGACCTGAGCCGAAGGCAGACGCTTAACCGACTGAGCCACCCAGGCGCCCCGGAAATGAGGGTTTAAATTTACATAGCCATTGTATATAATTCCAGGTTGAAACCAGGCCAACCAGGTACGTACATTGAATGAATGCAAAAAGAGGAAGAGAGCTGAAAATTGTATTCTTAGGTTAAACTAGCTGCAATGGTAATGCATTCTGATTCAGAGAATAGAGCAACTCCCTCTATCAGATATTGCCCCACTAAACCAGATATTCTGAACTGCAGGTTGAACATACTGTGTCTAGTTTCCTGTTGCAAATTTTACTGGTCATAGCCATCAACAAGCTATGGTCAATCTGAGATTGGCTATATTCTCCCCATAGGGTAGGGAACCATGAGAACACATCCTTGTTAGTGAGTCCTACAGAGTAAATCTAAACAAGTCTTGAGGATCTGTCTGGTGAGGGCAGGCCAGATAATCACAACTTCATAATTGAAAACTGTGAGATAAAACACATCATGTCACTCTAATAGCCTTACAAACTGAAAGAGTCCTATAATATAAAATGCAACTATATTCCTGCCCAGTTATAGAGTTGTCATTTGTATGCACCATCAGGAGTTAGAGGCTGGTTGTCAATGGGGGCTAGACACCCATGTTTACAATCAAGGGTAGAATCTTTGAAGAGTATGACCAAGAGGCCCATTGCACCAAAACTTGCAGTAGCCTTATGATGTGGGAAAAAGATTGAATGTGGAAATATATAGTTATATTTTCTTATATAGTAAGAGGGTGGGTCCTAGAAGGTTAATAAGACCTCATTCCCATCCATTTATAAGAAACTCCATGAGACATCAGTTCCTAACTGGTGCATTTGTCACTCCATGCAAGCTAAAATGGCAGAATTTCAAGAGTACCTCCTTGAGGAAGTGGGAAGGACCTATCTGTCTTTGATTAGATTCCCCAGACACAGAGCCTGAGGTAGGAATTCTTTTTTATTTTAATTTTATTATGTTATGTTAATCACCATACATTACATCATTAGTTTTTGAGGTAGTGTTCCATGATTCATTGTTTGCATATAACACCCAGTGCTCCATTCAGTATGTGCCCTCTTTAATACCCATCGCCAGGCTAACACATCCTCCCAGCCCACTCCCCTCTAGAACCCTCGTTTTGTTTCTCGGAGTCCATAGTCTCTCATGGTTCATCTCCACCTCCGATTTCATCCCCTTCATTTTTCCCTTCCAACTATCTTTTTTTTTTTTTTTTTTAAACACAAAACGTATTATTTGTTTCAGAGGTACAAGTCTGTGAGTCAGCAGTCTTATACAAATCACAGTGCTTACCATAGCACATGTCCTCCCCAATGTCTATCACCCAGCCACCCCATCCCTCCCACCCCTCACCACTCCAACAACCCTCAGTTTGTTTCCTGAGATTAAGAATTCCTCATATCAGTGAGGTCATATGATACATGTCTTTCTCTGATTGACTTATTTTGCTCAGCGTAATACCCTCCAGTTCCACCCACTTCATTGCAAATGGCAGGATTTCATTCCTTTTGATGGCTGCATAATATTCCATTGTATATATATACCAGCTCTTCTTTATCCATTCATCTGTCGATGGACATCTTGGCTCTTTCCATAGTTTGGCTATTGTGGACATTGCTGCTATAAACATCGAGGTGCACATACCCCTTCAGATCATTACATTTGAGGTAAATACCCAGTAGTGCAATTCCTGGGCCATATGGTAGCTCTATTTTCAACTTTTTGAGGAACCTCCATACTGTTTTCCAGAGTGGCTGCACCAGCTTGCATTCCCACCAACAGTGTTAAGAGGGTTCCCCTTTCTCCACATCCCCGCCAACATTTGTTGTTTCCTGACTTGTTAATTTTAGCCCTTCTGACTGGTGTGAGGTGGTATCTCATTGAGGTTTTGATGTGGATTTCCCTGATGCTGAGGGATGTTGAGCACTTTTTCATGTGTCTGTTGGCCATTTGGATGTCTTCTTTGGAAAACTGTCTCTTCATGTCTTCTGCCCATTTCTTGATTGGATCATTTGTTCTTTGGGTGTTGAGTTTGATAAGTTCTTTATAGATTTTGGATACTAGCCCTTTATCTGATATGTCATTTGCAAATATCTTCTCCCATTCTGTCAGTTATCTTTTGGTTTTATTGACTGTTTCTTTTGCTGTGCAAAAGCTTTTTATCTTGATGAAGTCCCAATAGTTCATTTTTGCCCTTGCTTCCCCTGCCTTTGGTGATGTTTCTAGGAAGAAGCTGCTGTGGCTGAGGTCGAAAAGGTTGCTGCCTGTGTTCTCCTTTAGGATTTTGATGGACTCCTGTCTCACATTTAGATCTTTCAATCATTTGGAGTCTATTTTTGTGTGTGGTGTAAGGAAATGATCCAGTTTCATTCTTCTGCATGTGGCTGTCCAATTTTCCCAACATCATTTGTTGAAGAGACTGTCTTTTTTGCATTGGACATTCTTTCCTGCGTTGTCGAAGATTAGTTGACCATAGAGTTGAGGGTCCATTTTTGGACTCTCTATTCTGTTCCATTGATCTATGTGTCTGTTTTTGTGCCAGTACCATCCTGTCTTGATGATGACAGCTTTGTAATAGAGCTTGAAGTCTGGAATTGTGATGCCACCGGCTTTGCTTTTCTTTTTCAACATTCCTCTGGCTATTCAGGGTCTTTTCTGGTTCCATACAAATTTTAGGATTACTTGTTCCATCTCTTTGAAAAAAGTTGA